TGATAAGATTCACATCAAAAACTGAAATGATGTAATACACGCGTTGCCTCGGCAGCGCGCGAGCCGCTTGGTCACACAAACAATATCAATCTCCTTGGAGAAAAATAGCTGCAGCAGCAGAGCTCTCACTCAGAGGGGGAAGAAACCGCAGCACAGGCTTCCGAGCCTCGAGAGAGAGCGCTGGATCTAGGGAGTGCAGGCGGAGAAAGGGCGAGCCGTCTCCAACCCATCCACTAGATCCACATGCGATCCCCGAGATCTGAATAGCTGCTGTGCCTCAGCAATAGCGGGACCAAACCGTGAGCTCACACGCACAGACACACTCCTCGGAGCGTGCCCGGCGGGAGCGGAGCGTTCAGTGGGGAGAAGCACAATCAGCCCCTTATTTCCGAGAGCTGACTGCACACTCATTATAATATTAGGCATAATATGCTTGTGAAACTGATGCTTGAGTAACTGATGCTTGTGCAACTGGCGAGCTCATCGACGCCCTCCATATCAACGTCCTCGGAGGAGGCAGACAGGTGGAGCGTCGAGCCCTCTCACAGGGGGGAAAGAACCGCAGCGCGGGCTTCTGAACCCCGAGAGCGGGCGCTGGATCTGGTAGGTGAGGAAGAAGATAGGGACACGCCCGTCTACATTCCCTCCACCAGATCCATATGCAAACCCCACGAGCACAGCCGCCGCTCCGCCTCAGCGAAAGCGGGGCCGGCACCACGAGAAACGCCGGTGAAGGCTCCCTCCTCAAAGAGAGCCTTCCGAGAGCGAAGCAAGGCAGTAACAAACGAGAGCTGACTCTGCGTGCTTTGCTCCCAAGCAGACAACACACAAACTGTGTGTGTCCCCACCCGATATATAGCGCAGGCAGGGAGGAATACACAGCCTGAATGCTGTCTGCTCTTGCCCAAATGCTTCTTTTTGCTGAAGCTTGGCATAATGTAGCTTATAAGTGGACAAACAACACTAAATAAGACTCACAAACAGATAGCGACTGACACACATACAGAGCGCTTGCTGAATGACAAAACGCTGACACCGGTTCCACCGCACGTGCTTTTATAGCTTCCTGGTCGCAACGTCACCCGCCCATGACGTCTCGCCCATCTATTGGACTGATTTCATATGTGATTCAGAGCATGGTCACGCTGAGGGTGTTCCCGAAGTGTTTCCGACGCAGCTCGAGTTCCTGAAGGGGAACATATATAACAATGTATATAACCCTCTTCTACATGTTTTGTTGTTTGTTTAAATGCTAGCATAATGGTGATTGCTTGATGATCTGAGAACTTAATGAATAAAACATTTATTAAAATGAATTAAATCATATCCTTCGGAGACAGATATTTGCTTGAGATGTTAAAGTGAACACAACTATCTATTAACACTGAAAGTACAACAGATTCAACAGTGCTGAGAAAAGAGTGTACATGATGGACTTGCATAGAACCATAGGCGTAATTTGTGGGTGGGACATGACCCCACCACTTTTTGCCAGGGTCGAATATTGTCCCTACCACTTTTTGAAAGTAATTGAAAAATATATTGCAGAAGGTATGTATTAAAGGGAAAACAAGATCAACAAATCATTCTTCATAATCTAATTAGGGTGATTAAAAAAAACAAAAACAAAAAAACAACAACATTTGACTCCTTATGCATGCATAACTGGTGCAGTGCAGTAGCGACGTGATTTGCAGCTGTCGCACTTTTCGTAATGTCATTAGCATTTTATTTAAAAAATGGAGAGCTTCCTTGTGCTAAGTAGGCCTGCCCTCTACTAAAGATTTTTCTAGTCAACTAGTCGCACATTATATTAATATTATATAATAATATACGTTAATATATTATATAATAATATATTAACCATACTTCAATATAGGCAATAGGCAGACGTATTAGGCTAGAGCCTATTCCGCACTCAAGCTCGCGCATAAAGCAATTGCCTCAAAGCACCGGCAAAGTGATTATGAACGTGTCGGGGGAAAAGAAGACATTTTAATTATTTATTAATAAACTAGTGCTTTCTGAGTCAGTGCAAAGATGAGGTTGCCGAATGCCGATGCTGACTCGCAATCTTCACATGGACGTGCCTTTAATAGAAATGCACCATTTCATACGGACTACAAAATTAAAGAATATTACAAAATCGAGTGGGCGAGTTTTCCTTATATTTATTTTATTACTCATATAAAAATTATAATAACCTGTTTTGGTTATATTTACTATTAATTAAGGTGCACTCAGCAAAAATGACGTGAATATTGATGGTTTTCATGCTTAAGTAAAGTAAAAGACCGCTTCTTAAACCAGAGAAGGTGAACATGTTGGTATTCTTGTGGGGCCAAAAAAACATGCAAGCACTGTCACCGGCAGCAAGTTTAGTTTTACTTTTCTTTTTGCTTTGTTTTCATTTTGAAAAGCTTATCTTTGCTGTTTTTGATTCCTCAGTGTTTGCTAAACGTTCTGTAATTTATTAGTCATTATATAGCCTAATACAGCGTGTTGGCCTATTAGCATTTTATTTAAAAAATGGAGAGCTTCCTTGTGCTAAGTAGGCCTGCCCTCTACTAAAGATTTTTCTAGTCAACTAGTCGCACATTATATTAATATTATATAATAATATACGTTAATATATTATATAATAATATATTAACCATACTTCAATATAGGCAATAGGCAGACGTATTAGGCTAGAGCCTATTCCGCACTCAAGCTCGCGCATAAAGCAATTGCCTCAAAGCACCGGCAAAGTGATTATGAACGTGTCGGGGGAAAAGAAGACATTTTAATTATTTATTAATAAACTAGTGCTTTCTGAGTCAGTGCAAAGATGAGGTTGCCGAATGCCGATGCTGACTCGCAATCTTCACATGGACGTGCCTTTAATAGAAATGCACCATTTCATACGGACTACAAAATTAAAGAATATTACAAAATCGAGTGGGCGAGTTTTCCTTATATTTATTTTATTACTCATATAAAAATTATAATAACCTGTTTTGGTTATATTTACTATTAATTAAGGTGCACTCAGCAAAAATGACGTGAATATTGATGGTTTTCATGCTTAAGTAAAGTAAAAGACCGCTTCTTAAACCAGAGAAGGTGAACATGTTGGTATTCTTGTGGGGCCAAAAAAACATGCAAGCACTGTCACCGGCAGCAAGTTTAGTTTTACTTTTCTTTTTGCTTTGTTTTCATTTTGAAAAGCTTATCTTTGCTGTTTTTGATTCCTCAGTGTTTGCTAAACGTTCTGTAATTTATTAGTCATTATATAGCCTAATACAGCGTGTTGGCCTATGCCATGCCTCATCTTATTCGTTTTTGTTAATAACGTTTTGTTCGTTTGTCATTGAATCTTACTGTTTTATTGTTGTTGTGCATTTTAATTAAAAATAATGAATCCATCTTTTTTTTTTGGTCTTAAAAGGTTAAAGGTGTATAGATGTAAGCAAAACAGACAATTATATTTTATTGTAAAATCTGACAAGATCGTGAAATCGAAAGTGAAAGCATCCGAAGCCCGGCTTATAACATGGCAAAAGAGGAACTCCCGTTCACAAAATTCAAATTACAAATAATAGCCTACTACTGATGAAAAAGAACGGGTTGAATGTTAACTACTTTCGTTTCCATTTAACTATAAACTACGATAAAAGTTCATCAGCATGCATTGATTAATAGCATGCTGTAGCGAAAAAAAAAAAAAACGTGCTCGTGCAACCAACTGAGAAAGTTAATCGCAAAAGAGCGACCAGTGGGAAGAATGAGTCTGGAGCCCTTAATTGCCCAGCTCCTTCTGTCAATGATCTAGCACTCCCTCAGCACCTGCGTTCAAAATTCTCTGGCACCGCCCCTGGTACATCGATGCATTTTTGAAAAGCAAAAATTAAGTTTGTACAACTCTAAACACAGTCCCCAAGTAAATTAGGTTATTAAATAAAAAACTAGCAAAACAAGTTGCGCAGTGTCCCCACCACTTTTCAAAGCAAAGTTACGCCACTGCATAGAACATATGGTAAAAGGCTAGTCTTCAAATTGTTCTGTAAAAAAATTAACAAATGAATGTTTGAATAAAAAAATAATTGTACAATATTTTAGCACAAGTGCAAGTGCAAAACCTTCACTATTGCAAAATGTAAAGCGAGTTCAGAAATACATCGTACACAGCAGGGGCGTAGATTACGCGGGGGACGTGTCCCCCCCACTTTTAATATCACGTAAATTCGTCTCCCGTACTTTTTTGGGCAAGTGTGTTCCATAGAGGTTTTCAAGAGCCGGTGTGAATAAATATAGATTTAAATTCAAAGAGACAGGATAGTCTGTGCATGATCTGATGATTTATCCGGACCCAGATTAAGGCAAGATGAACATCGCTGAGCACTAAACACTCCGTGCAGTGTATGTTTCATTCATACTCGAAGCCGGAGGGCGCTTGCGCAGAAAGTCGTACGAGGAAATTCCTAATATGGACAAAAGCGTCCAGCTATCGCTGTATGAAAACGTTTGGAAACATGAAGACATTAAACATATGATTGCGACAATATATGGTTTATTTGTGTTTGCCAAGTCATCTCCAGGTAATAAATAAAATATATGAACAATGCAGTGCTAATTGATTATAAATGTCTTTATCATCCCTATTGATCAATTTAAAGCATCCTTGCTAAATAAAAGTGTTCATTTCTATAATTTATTTTCCAAAAAAATAAAAATGATACTGACTTAAGCTTTTGTATTTTCACATAAATACTGATCTTTGGATCCTTCTATTCATCAAATAATCCAGAAAAAATTTACTTAACTGTTTTAAATATTGATAATAATAATAATTAAAAAAGGTTTCTTGAGCAGCAAATCAGCATATTATAATGATTTCTGAAGGATGTGAGACTGGAGTAATGATGCTGAAAATTCAGCTTTGATCACAGCAATCATTTTAAAATATATTCAAATAGAAAGCAGTTATTTTAAACAGTAAAAATATTTCACAACATTACTGCTTTTGCTGTACTTTGAATCAAATAAATTCAGGCTTGGTGAGCAGAAGAGACTTCTTTATAAAACATTAACAATCTTACTGTTCAAAACAGTTGACTGGTAGGTTATATAGATTACAGAAATGTTATATTGTAATGTTTATATATACATATACACACACACCCCCTCACTTCTGAAATGATGGCTACGCCCCTGGTACACAGACAGGTAACATTCACACAACAAGAGCTTCTGATGTACTCTGACGAAAGATGTTCACCTACAGTGCTTGTGGGATAATACAGAATGCTGAAATAATGATTTAAATTATACCTGCACCAATTTGTCACATTACAATTACAACAAAGCAAACTGTTGCTCTCGTCAAAGGAGCAGGCTGAGGTAACACATCCTCCACCCACACAATTCTATAGCAGAGATCTCTGTCTATAGTCAACGAGCTGGCTAGCAGACAAGCTCTTGAAAACAAGATATGTAGCAGTTTTAAGGGGGGAAAATGCATGGCTGATGTGTCTCCATCTGACATAGACGGAAATATCTACTGTAGATATTTCTGAACAACACATTAAACATATTTAACTTTATATTGAGTACTGATGACCAATTGATGTACTGTAGTTTCAAAGTGAAAAACCAAGCAGCATCCCAAAGACCCTCATGTGTCTGGAACCACGTTCTAACGCCACAGGATCTGCCACTGCTAGATTTTTCTAGGCCTCTGTTACAAAATTATGAACCTATTAACAGTGTGGGTCGTTTGAGAAGTTACTGGAGTAACAAGCAGGCAGCAACTATAACATTGCTTTCATACAACAAACAAGAAATTAATATTGAACCCCCAATGAAAATAGCTCCAAACTGGAGTGTCTGGACAAGTGCACTGATACAAACAGAGAAAAGTCGACTGTTGGACTGTTATATCAGCATTCTTGGATTCAAGAACTGGTATAACTAACTTCTATTGGCTACATTGGCTGTTTAAAAGATGTAGGGGCTGTAATAATTTTTTATGTTTTTTTAAATAGGTCACCCAACAAGGCTGCATTCATTTGATCAAAATTCACAAACTATAGCACTTTGAAATATTATGTATGTATGCATGTATGTATATGTGACCCTGGACCACAAAACCAGTCATAAGGGTCTTATTGAGATTTATACACCATCTGAAAGATGAATAAATAAGCTTTCCATTGATGCACGGATAGGATAGGACAATATTTGTCCAATATACAACTATTTGAAAATCTGGCATCTGAGGGTGCAAATAAAATCAAAATATTGAGAAAATCGCCTTTAAAGTTTTCCAAATGAAGTTCTTGGCAATGCATATTACTAATCAAAAATTAAGTTTTTATATATTTACAGTAGGAAATTTACAAAATATATTCATGGAACATGATCTTTACTTTATATACTAATGATTTTTGGCATAAAAGAAAAATCTATCATTTTGACCCATACAATGTATTGTTGGACTGGTTTGTATGACTGGTTTTGTGGTCCAGGGTCACATATAACAAATTGCTCGAAAGCCTCAATACTTTTAAGTGACATTACTATGGCTTTACCCTAATAAGAACAAACTTACACAGCTCAACTGAGAAGAGAGACAGACATGAAGAAAAAATGATAGAATTATGGCATTACTGAATGTCACACCATCTTCTAAGGATCAACTCAACCAGCCCATTGCACCTGTCACTATCAGCCTAGCAGATGGATAAAAGTGTTCCTTTCCTTTTTACTGCAAAACTGCCTGAATAAAAATGTATTTATGCTCAATACATTGACATTTGCTGGTCTATAACATTTGCTCATGGAATGAGTTTATGCGGTAATCAAATTATCAGTATTGTCAAAAGATTACTAATGAAGCAGAGGATGCAATTAAACATAATAATGTTTAAGATTCCAAACTGTGCATAGCAATATGGAAACGTCCTACAGTACAGGCAAATTTTTTAAAAATTGACATGCAACTTGCAACCTCCCATATAGTCCCTAAATAAAAGAGCCATGAATAAGGAATGATAATGGCTCCTCAACAATTGGACTGAGGCCATGCAGAGCACACCTTCAGCCCCAGAGCCAGAGCCACTGCTGCCTCCAGGAATACCAATGAGAGTTTGAGGTGCCAGCAACTGAAATCAAAGGCAATGAGACACAGCCAATTTTTTTTAGGGGGGAATATGGAACAAGATTATCCCTATCAAATAAATGTAAACAGCTTAGGTCAAAAGTAATCAAAAAGTAGTTAGACTATATTACTTAAAATGTGTAATGTAATAGATTACATTACTACCATTTTTATCATGCCATTTGTATTCAATAATAGACTACAATTTGTAAGTAATCTACCCAGCACTGACAATAAATGAGCTAAGAATAACTGCAAGAAAGAAAATGTTTCCAGTGTCTCTTCTAACTTGTCATCTTGAAAAAAGATTTCATATTTCAAAATGTGCTTCTGCCTGGATTCTCTGACTGGCAGTATGCTCATCAAAATCGGCATGTTTTATGCTCTTCCTGTCTTGGTGCTGAGTGGACCACCACCTGCTCCATGTGTCCTTGCCCCGAGCCAAGTCAACAAACAACGGACTGTTCAGTCACCTAAACACAAATGCAGGATCTCTCCCGCTGATGAAAAGAGGCACATTCAAGATGCACAGTATAAATGCAATGCAAATACTGCTTGTTGAGCTGGCTTATATCCTAATTACGTTACTCAGGCTTGGTCATTTTTATTTCAGTGTGACAGCAAGTGTGTCTCCAAAATACCTTTGTCCACAGAGATCAACATGTCCTCCAAGATGTTTACCTCCCCTCTGACTAATGACTAGCCGGTGTGAAGAGATTTTAGAGCTCAGCCCTCTTATTTCCCACCTATAGCACATCTCACTTGAGATAACAGTGGCATCTGTCCAAAACACCCATTTGCATAAGCATTACCTTGTGTGTTGAGAGGAGCTTAACACAAATTTCATTAACCTATGGGTTAAAAGAGTCTGCACCTCTAATTTCTCTCCCTGTCAACTTCAGCCACAGAATTTACAGCAACTAGCTTCCATTTTTAAATCTCAATCAGTGGAAAACCAAGGGGGAAAAAGCCTTGAGCCTTTATGCTATAATTAGAAATATACAAATGTATTCCTCTCTCAAATACAGTCATGGTTTATCACCTAATCCGCAACAATTACTTCACCTCTAATAACAAAGGACATACGGCTTCAAGGTAAAAGTTAAGAAATCCAATTTAGTTGGACTAGAAAGCTAAATTAGAAATTGTTAAAAAATTTCCTCAGAGCAAACATGAGGTATTTTGGCACTAGAAAGGATATGGATGTGGTTTGGGGGAAAAAAAGAAGATTGTGTTTAAATGTTAAAAACCAAGCTTTTAATTAAGTATATTAATTAGTGAATGTGCTGATTATTTGATAACATATCATAACTTGTGCAGTTCAATTATTTCCCCATAATTATTTACTAATTGTCGTGGTTAGAGAGTTAGAGAACCTAACGGTTAGAGAGTCGGACTCGTAACCCAAAGGTTGTGGGTTCGAGTCTCGTACCGGCAGGGATTGTAGGTGGGGGGAGTGAATGTACAGCGCTCTCTCCCACTCTCTCCCACCTTCAATACCACGACTGAGGTGCCCTTGAGCAAGGCATGGAACCCCCAACTGCTCCCCGGACGCCGCAGCAAAAATGGCTGCCCACTGCTCCGGGTGTGTGCACTTTGGATGGGTTAAATGTCGAGCACTAATTCCAAGTATGGGTCACCATACTTGGCCACATGTCAAGTCACTTTCACTTTCAAACTACTTATCAACATGTATTACTATACATGAAGCATGAGGAATTTAAATATTGTTGTTGAAATATCTTTGTATATTATAAATGTAAAACTTTTTTTTTCAAGGTTAAGGCAGTGTTATCAGTCAAGAAAAGTCACATATGAGCTAGATGAAAATATCTGAGTACTGAAATTAATTTTATGTGTATTATCTATTGTATGAATAACATTCTGGACATGTAAAAGCATTTCACCTCAACCTCTCTTATGAACACGCACACACGCATTCCCAAGTATAACAGGAAAATGTGTAAAAGGCCACACACTTGTGCTCCTAGATTTGTGTGTGGCAAGTGATTATTCCTGACAGTAATTAAAGGAAGGGAACTCTTGTCATTGAATTGGTACCTTTCAGGACATTAATCAAATTGTGCCTGTGGGTTAGACTTAATGTCTCTTCAAAAAGCATAAAGGAAAATCATCTTTGCACAGAGCCGCTTTGAGTCTTATCTGTAGTACTAATGGTTGTACAACCCAGAGTACAAATTAGTTTAGGAATAATCAGCAGTTAGCTGGGCAGAAATAAGCGATAATTAAACTTTAACCTGAAGGAAAAATCCTCATTTAGATCATACAATGGCTTTAGCAATGGACAGCTCAATTTTACTGCACTGCCTTGCTCATTAACCTGCTTCTGAAACCCAATAGAAAGATTCAATTGATATGTAAGAATAGTCTAATTTTCACAGTCAACTTTGCGCAATTGGATTTTTGTGCACAATCCCATTTAAAGCTATCGGAGATATGTTTATTACGGCTTCAGTGGGCATTACTGTTCTTTGAAGAGAAATGCTCCATGCTCCATTCAAGGCTATAGCAATAGTGCAGTTTCATTAATACTCACCTTTCCCATAGTTGAAGTGGAGTTTGATGGCTTTGCCTTGGTTTATGTGAAGATACGTGAACCCAATGGCAAACATAAGCAAAACGAGCAGCAGAAGGAGTTTGAACTGCTTGCGGATCTTCTTCAGAGGAAAGCGCATCCTCATCACAGCAACATCACCCACTCAGTGGAAAATTCAGACTTGTGCCCCTTCAGCGTTGATGTTGTACAGCTAGAATGTCAAAAGATGTTGAAATTATGTTTTGCACTCACAATACCGGTAATAGTTTCCAGATTATAACAGATTTAAACTTGCAATTGAACACCTTCCTTTATATACTTATTTCAACAATGACATTCTAAACTTCAGAGTAGCCTATAGGCTACTGAAGGGGAGGCTATTTATTATAAATGACATTTACACAGCCACATGTAATCTACATTCGTCATAAATTTCACAGGCAGTTATTATTGCTTTAATAATCGCGAATACTTACCATAGATGTCTAACCGGTGTCACCATAGGAGATGTGTGTGTTGGCTGATGCTGCGCTGTCTTGTGTCTATCTTGACTGCTCACTTGAGTCCAGCCAGAACAATATTTGGTATAAAAAAAGGGGCAGCTCATCATTTCTGTTATTAGAAGTGTCAATACAGGCAGCCGTCAAACTTACTGTACGCACTAATTTCCTTTTCGATATGTCTTCATAAACAGAGGCTTTCGTCCTAAAGTCCTGTTATAAGAGTTTTGTACAAATCCTTATTCCAGGTGCGTTATATGATGAGCGGACAGTGGAAGCGTTACATTATTTGTTTTTCACGGTGTAGTCTCGTTCATTGCAAAAAAGGAGAGCTGGAGACAAACAGTGCTGTGTAAACATCAATGAAGCGTCGCTGTTTTGTGGTTTTGTCTCGTGCCTCTTCTCGCGCTGGTATTCACGAGCACGCTTTTGTTTCTTCGGTCTGTTTCACAGACGAAAAAAAAACGACCGCAAACATATTCGTGTAGTGCCATCTCAAATCCTTGTGTTAAGTGATTTTTATTCGTCTTAAGTCCTTTTTGTTTTGGTGTTCTCATCTACGGAAGAAAACTGAAATATTTTCCTCAGCAGCATCAGCGCACTTGTCCGACTGCATCCCATCGTTGCATCCTGCTCTTCATCTGATGGATAGAGGGAGCTGTTTTACCTTCATGTGCGCACAGTCACAGTGCTTTACCTGAAGGGCTCAGAATGGTCACTGAACAGTGTTGCATGCTCCTTCATTCTCTTTACACTGACAAGCTCTTAAAAGACGTTAGTTACACTATTTTAAACAAGTTACTAATAGGGTAATGATGCATGAGACTGCTGTTCGTTATAATAATGATGTGGGCTATGAAAATGTAAGTTTATAAAGTATCCACACTCTTATGGCAAAATACATAAGAGCCTAATTGTAATATAAAGTTTTACCTTCATGTGCGCACAGTCACAGTGCTTTACCTGAAGGGCTCAGAATGGTCACTGAACAGTGTTGCATGCTCCTTCATTCTCTTTACACTGACAAGCTCTTAAAAGACGTTAGTTACACTATTTTAAACAAGTTACTAATAGGGTAATGATGCATGAGACTGCTGTTCGTTATAATAATGATGTGGGCTATGAAAATGTAAGTTTATAAAGTATCCACACTCTTATGGCAAAATACATAAGAGCCTAATTGTAATATAAACTTGAATACTGTTGAATAAATATGTCCCCTGATCTTGTTTGATACTATATGTGACCATGGACCACAAAACCAGTCATAAGGGTCAATTTTGTATGGTTTGTTAGGACAGGACAATATTTGTCCAAGATATTTGAAAATCTGGGGCCCATTCTTCGTACGTTGCTTATTACATCCGAGATGAAATGTCACATCCAAGATGATATTATCGCGCTAATCAGGATCTGGCTAATTCGGTTCTTCGAACGCAGCTGTTGTTGAGGATTAGTCTGGCTGGATTGAGTTATCTGAGATAATTGCGGGTTCATGGGTTGATTTAAATGGGGTTATGTATCGATACTCGAAACCACGATCAGCAGTGCAGCGATTGGCTGGCGGCAGGACAGCAAAGTAATGACATCATATCATTAAAAAAGACAAATATTACAAATCGTGAATATAAATAATTGGGAATCATGTAAAAAATTAAATAAAAACAGTGCACATTTAATTTATCTGTTATTAATAAAAGTCGTGGGGCAGCGTTGACAAGTTTCTTTTCTTCTAGATGTGTGAGCTGCTCGATCTCCGATATACAGTATACTGTATATGTGTGTGTGTGTGTGTCAGTAAGCAGCGCATTAATATAGAACGGTAATTAAAGGCTCTAATGCACACCAGTATAGGTGTGTGTATTGTAGGAGCTAGACGACGTATGATGATGTGTGACGGCATAGTAGTGGTGTCCCAATTCTTAGGGGAATATTTTCACCCCTACCCCTTGACACTCTGTTTCAAGGGGAAGGGGTATAAAATAGAATTGGGATTGGGCCTTAATACTACGTCAAAAAATCTCAATGCTTGGATTAGAAATTGGGTTTAAATTATGCAAATCATCCTTTTTGTAATTAATCTACATCAAATTCACCATATTGATTATATTACTAAACTATGAATAAAAATGCCAGCATATATTTGTGGTATTTAATGTGTTTGAATAAAATTGCTTTTTTTTTACATAATTATGCAAAACTTCCATCATCTGTAAAATTGGACTGCTCCAAAACATTTTAGACATTGTAATTATGTTAATCGTATAAAAAAACATATAGTGAAAATATTAATTGTAAGACCCTACTACTAGCATTACTAGTTTTATTTTTTATATTAGCATTTATATAAAGGTGTGTATATATATATATATATATAATGTATGTATATATATATATATATATATATATATATAATGTATGTATATATATATATATATATATATATATATATAGTATTTATTATATATTTATATATAAGGTATTTATATAGATTTATATACATCTTTTTATATGTTTAAGTAAGTTTTAGGTAGTATGTGGGCATGATGATATTTACAGCCGTTTCTGTTTTGAATCATGCCTAAAACACTAGCAGAAGAGTCTATTATTAAAGGCTCATGGAGGAGGGCTGGATAACAGTTTGGTCTGAATGAAGCATCCTTTAGCAAAACCCTGAGTATGTTTGGATTAAAGGTGCTCCATTTGGAGATAACTCTTTCAGGCACCTAATCTTTGAAAACTGATGCCTGCCTTGCCTTCCTTGTTTTGGATGCTGAAACACCAGTGGTCTCGATAAACATGTCTTTGAACAGATAACCTCAGGCACAAAGCAGGAGGAGAAAGAGAGGTATGTGTAATCTCAACTTCTCCAAGTGTGTGGTTTGAGTGCTAATGTTCAGCTTGTAAGGGTTATAAACCCTGAGAGTTGTCTGTCTCAGTTCAAAGGAGCTGATAAAAATCAAAGCTGAAAATGAATTGACAAGATTTTTTCCCCCCAGTCCTGCTGCTTGATATATTTGTCTGCTATCTTTCAACCCGATCTAAAAATACAGTTTTTTTTTTCTTCAGATCAAACTTAGTTAAAGGCCAGGGAAAGTCATACTGGCTGTGGCTAAATAGATCAGTGTGGTCCGATAACTTTTGTAGCATGAAGTGTTGCATTGCAGAACTCAGCACAGATGAGCGCATCAATACCTGCTCAATTATGATGATGAGTGATGATGCTGTCATCCTTTTTTTTTTTTTGCTTCTGCTCTTTTTCTGTCAGCCCTTCTCATGTAGGCCTATGGCACTCACAATCTGCCAAGGCGTGGTGGCATCCATCACCCAAACCTGTGTCACCACAAGCTGTCAGTGTCCTCCGAGAGCAGGAAACAAACATGAAAGATCCTCAAATTCCAGGTAGTCTGATGATGCTGGCAAATCTCACTGAAGGTTGTATCTCTGCTGTGTTCTCAATGGGAAGGAAATCTAATCCATTGCTGTTCCTACGCTGTTGTTCACTAGAAGACTTTTCCATTACAAAATAAAGATGAAGAATAATAAGGTGGATTATAATGTTGTTGACCTTTTGCTGAGAATAAGGAACTAAAACGTGGTGAATGATGGCGAATCATCGAGGATCTACTGTAATCATTAAACAAGCTATGTATTTACAGAGCCCTCTTGAGGTCACACGGAGCATTCCCGTAATTTGCTGTGTCTTGTGTATTTCGAAATAATTCTACACACTCCAATCAAGATTAGAAAACTTCTATTTATGCAAATCTAATTCAAACATAGAATAACAAAGTAAATAGGTATAGCATAATTTTACAATATACAGACTGAATAAAACCAAAGCCTTTTGGTTGGAGTTCTCAAAACTCCTTAAAAGGGAATGTACACGGTCCATAACTCAAATACTGCACTGAATTTTTTTTTTTTGAATTTCCACACTGTAATAGAATGTAAAACCATCAATGTCTTAATACAATGGCATAATAGCAATACAGTGCTCAACTTACACGGTTATTCTGAGAGACAAAAAAAAAAAGGTGCTTAGCTAACCGGTATGTAATTAACGTATAATTATTTATGTTTAGAATACTTTTGTTCACTGATTCCCAGCTATTCTGTTTTAGATTAAAATGATAGTTTTTGTCCTGGTTTACATATAATGACGAGAAACATGGTTTGGCAAAACAATTCACATATAGCGTCAAAGCTGAATCTGTTAAACCTGATAGCACATCCTGGGCACAGCCTTCTAAGACCAGTTGACTGTTTACAAAAAGCAAGCATATGCTAGATAAGACCATCAGAAAGCAAATCTGACATTTAAGTCATAAATATGTTGCAAATACAAAATCCTATAAGCACTAAAATACAATACTCTGAAAAGCTAAATATACAAAATGTTCACACAAACGAAAAACAAGGACAAATACCAAATGTACAGAAAGTTGTGTTTAGAAACAACCAGAAAAATATTGTTGAATCTTATTAAAGGCCATGTTTAATATTGTCATCAGCTGGGAAGTTAAATCGCAAAGCCACAGCAGCTGTCTCAATGAAACTGTGCCAAATCATTTTGAGATGAACATACTCTAACAGACTGCTGCACATTCCATTAAACTATTGTGTGGTGTTCTCTATCAGAATAATAAATATTGGCTTGTGGACACTGCAAAATTGGCATCATACCATAAAGCTGGTATCAATAAACAATTCACATCACAAACCATTCAAATTACCACAGACTACAAGCATATAACTCTCTACTTTCTTATCAGAAAGGATAAGCTACTGTATTATTTAACATGGAGTGGTTTGTGATATTAACAAATAATTGCAATATTATATTATGGCAATAGCCATCCCTAGTGAAAAAAAAAAAATACTAAAATGTATTTGAAAAACATTTCATTCCAAGTATACTTACAAATACATTTACATATTTATATACTTATTAAAAAATATCCTGCAGTGTACTTTTAGTATACTAATTTGGAACAACTAATTTTGTACTTAATGCACTTTAAGAGTGCAGAAGTAGTGCTGAAGCCCAACTAAAGATATACTGAATTATATTTGATTGTGCTAAAGTGCAACTATTGTATTCTAAAGTATACTTCAGGTACACTTTGAATATGCATTTAAAGACCGATATTATTCAAAGATCATACAATCCTCATCAATAGTGATATTTTAGGCTTAATATTAAGAAATGTGCATTGTGCAGAAGTAGTACTCCAAATAAAATTTTATTATAATTTTAAATATCAGTAAGTCTCGAGCGATATGTCAGTAAATATGTTAACTATACTTAGTATGAAATAAATGTATTTTAAATATATTAAGTTTTTACTAGGGATAGCATATTAAGTAAAGGTTGATTTTGAATGTTGAAAATCACTGTAGTGCAAATCAGTCATATTGCAGAGCGTGGTTCCGATCTTTTCATTACAGCTTTCACCATTTCATTGAATTTGAGCCCAGAAACTGCAAAGACATCAGCGGTGTTGTGGTGTAATTGAGTGGCAGTTCTGTACAAACCCAGAGAATGTGAGAGAAAAGTTGGAAGGCAGTTGTTCTTAAAACAATGGGCTATATGCCGAGTTGTGTATTAAGCAGTGAGCCAGCTCACTTTTGATATGAAGCTTTTATCTCCGTCATATGTACCAGCTGCGATGTTTGTGCAAATGCATCACAAAGTGAGTTCAACCAGCGCAAACTTGAGCTGCTGAAAAGACAAATGCTGAAAAATCAATGCTCTCCACAGGACCACTGGCAAAACACTTGAATAAAAGTCAGTTCCACTGGCAAAGCACTTGAATAAAAGTCAGTTGGCAGCTTAAAATGTCTCTGATTTGGGCAGGTGTTGGCTGGAATGAGGGGGGTGCTGGAACAGAGGGTCTGAATGGACTGTGGGGATTCGTTTGGCAGGTAACTGTGACAGCTCACAGGCTGTTGAGGAGATCTTAGGTGAGAGTCTTTCTGAAAAATTGTCCATATTCTGACTTTCATCATCCCCTACCTGTCCCTCATAATTTTCAAAACGGGAAACGCCAGAAGGCTGCATTGAAACAGATTCGAAACTGTCTGAGGGTAAATCGCCCGCCACACTGCCCCCTGCTGTCTCTGAAGTGTCCTGCTCCAAGTTCTGAGATGTTTGTGAAGGCTTTTTCTCATCCACATTTGAAGGTGCAGTAGGGTCGCACAGCTCCGGTTGGTTTTGAGTCTCATTAAGCTCAGGTACAGGAGGTTCGTATGGAGGAGGCCATTCCCCGCCATCCTCAGGGGCTCCTATCATTCCGTCAGGTGTGAGGGGAATCTGGCTGTGCACTAGAACGGGGTCCGGTGAGGGGAGGGGAGACATGCTGCCAGTTCCTCCATCGTTGTAAGGCTTCTTTTCCTGTGAAGGGCTGTCATCCAGCATGATGGACTCCTGCTGTAGAGAGATGTGCAGAGAGGCAGGTGGCCGTTTCACGAGCTGGGCTTTGTTGGGTGTATCTTCTGAAGGGCTCGGTTTGGGCCATTTGACTGGAGTTAGAACAACGGGCAGCTCCAGACCCAGAGGTTTTCGTGGAAACTCATCAGGCTTAGCTGTGAATACAGAAATAATGAATGAGAGTGGACTGAAAATGTAGGTGTCCTACATGAACTCATTAGCTGTGGCCAAAAATATATCATTTATGCTGTGAGGCAGATAGAGCACTG